CTTAACCGACTGCGCCACCCAGGCGCCCCATGCAGAGCCTTTCTTAACTGAGCGCTTGCTAGGTTCCACACACCAAGCTTAGCCATTTTTATTCATTCAGAAAACCATAAGTAGGTACCCACTACATGCTAGGCACAGGACAGATATGATCTGGAAAGGGTCTAGTACATACACATATATAATCCTGACCTGCCAACGAGTAAGTTTATTTGGAGGGAGAAGAATCTTTTTGGTGGTAATTGTTGTTTTAAAATGTACCTTAAATGCAATCTTTTCTCCAACTTGTGGGGCAGCTGCTAACAGCGGTAACAAACTGTAGTCCTTGTGTGTCTCTACCGGATTCTGAAAGATAGCATGAGTCACGTGACTTTGTTACTGGTGACAAAAGTGAAGCCGGGACATCAACTGCAGACACACCCCACGGGCCTAGCGGAAGAAGCGCACTCACGATAAATAATACTTGCCTGGATAATAGTAGAGGAGTTTGTTACCATTTCATTTAGTTGCTGGTGCTTCTGATACTCAGGGTTTCTATTTAACACAAAGGAAACAGCTTGCCCTCGGCCCCGGCCTCTCCCCCGCACACCCCGACCCCTAGCTCCCTTCCAAGAAAGAAGGTCCTCTCCTCTCCCCCAGCCTCTTCCCAAACTGGTGGGGAGAGTCACGTTGGGAGGGGGCCCGGGAGGAGCCTGTCTGGCACCGTTTGCGTCCGAGAGCTTCCACCCGGCAGCGTGTGGGGTCTGCGCACACGGCCCCGGGCCCGGACAGCCTCTTCCTGCAAAGAGGCCTACAGGCTTTAAGAAACCCGCAGCGCGCTCCGGGGCGCTCTTCGACACCGTGCACTGGTCGTCCGACTCCGAGCTGGAGTCCGAACTGGAAGATGATGCTCTGGTCGTCTTGCACTTGACGGCCGCACAGGTGAAGCCAGTTTTGGCAGCCACTTTGTTTGCAGTCGTGTTTTTTGTCGAGGGCCCTTCCTTTGATAACTCAGTTGATGTTTTCTCTGAGGAATTTCTGACCTCCAAGAGGACATTGCTGACACCATCACTGGTGGACTCATGAGAAGACTCGGACTCTGAGGAGGAAATGGGGCTGTCTTTTGGACAGACGCCCGCGCCGCCTTTCCTTTTGGCTTTGACAAGGCTGTTCCTAGCAGGTGAGCCTTTCAGAGGACCACAGTTCGAGATGGCCCAGTCCTTCACTGTCTGTGCTTTAGAAGACCTGGAGTTCTTGGTCTGCCTTTTAAGTTCGCATTTCTCCTTCCTCTTTGGTGACTTTCTTTTGGTTTCTTTGTCATCACCATCCACTACACCACACATGGCTTTGTTTTTCCTCTTGCCCTTTTTCCTCATACTCTGATCTGTGGCAGCTTTAGGTTCTAGATCCAAGGTCTTCCCATTGCTACTGTTCTCTTGCCTCTTCCAATGTTTCTTTGAATTTCTGTAATCTAGTTCGGTTTCTTCACCTTCCTCCAACTTAAATGCCCTCTTCTTTGCTTTTCTGGGTAATAAATGACTATCGTCACCATTCTTGACTGTTACAGTATTCTCCGCAGTTTCTCTCTCTTCTAATTTAACTCTAGCAAAACAACAAGAGAGAAAGCTACAGTGAGTCATTCACAGGCATGTCTCTGGGACACGGTTAGATACCAGGATGGCCGCACACTATACCTGTCATCAGTCAATGAAAAAATGTCAAATAACTTCAGGACAAAAGACTCTTTTTGACAAAATGGTCTATATGGCATCCTTAGAGTCAACTTTGAAGTGACGAGTTTTATTTATTGAATATCTACTGCATCCCAAGCATTTTCTAGACATTTTCTCTAATCAAATGCCACCATGAAGTAGGTATGCTTCATTTTAAGACAGATCACAGAATTACAATTCAGATAAGTAACCCACCCAAAGTCCACAGCTAATAGGCAGCAGAGATGGGATTCAAACCTCAGTCTAACTTCAAAGTTCACAATCTCTCCACTCTATTATGCCGCCTACCCCAAATGGTAATACTGCAGACTACCCACTCTTCTTTTTATTTTCTTTTTCTTTTTTTTAACTTTTATTTTTTTAATTTTTTTTTTAACGTTTTATTTTTAAGACAGGGAGAGACAGAGCATGAACAGGGGAGGGTCAGAGAGAGGGAGACACAGAATCCGAAACAGGCTCCAGGTTCTGAGCTGTCAGCACAGAGCCCGACGCGGGGCTCGAACTCACGGACCGCGAGATCATGACCTGAGCCGAAGTTGGCCGCTTAACCAACTGAGCCACCCAGGCGCCCCTTATTTTTTAAATGTTTATTTATTTTGAGAGAGAGAAGCATGCACGTGCGTGGAGTGGGGTAAGGGCACAAACCGTGGGATCATGACCTGAGCCGAAATCAAGAGTCGGACGTTTAACCAACTTAAATTGTATTAAAAATAAAAAATTTTATTTTTAAATGTGGGCTGCTTTTTCTTAAAATCAGACTTCATTTTTATTTTGTTGAAATTTAGGAAAACCTTCTAACAATTTATGTTCTCTGGGACAGTGACAGCCATCGCAAAATTCCATGACATTCTGTGATTATTAATTTTATGTGTCACCTTGACTGGGTCATGACAGCCCAGATATTTGGTTAAACATCATTCTGGGTTTGTCTGTGAGGATATTTCTAGATGAGATTAGTATTTGAATGGGTAGACTAATGCCTTGGTGGCTCAGTCAGTTAAGCACCTGCCTTCCGCTCAGGTCGTGATCTCACGGTTCATGGATTCAATCCCCTCGTTGGGCTCTGTGCTCTGGGCTCAGAGTCTGGAGCCTGCTGTGGATTCTGTGTGTCCCGCCTCTCTGCCCCTCCCCCACTCATGCTCTGTCTCTCTCTGTCTCAAAAATAAAAAAACATTAAAGAAAAAAATTTTTGAATGGGTACACTAAGTCCAGCAGATGGCCCACCCCAATGTGAGTGGGTCTGACCCAATCCATTGAAGGTCTGAACAGAATTCCCTCTCTCTGCCCAACTGTCTGAGCTGGGACCTCAGCCTGCTCCCGCCTTCAGACTCACACTAGAGCTGGAACTTACACCATCGGCTCCCCTGGATCTCAGGCCTTTGGACTTGGACTGGAACTTTATCATCGGTTCTCTTAGGTCTCTGGCTTGCCAATTGTGAATCTTGGGACCACTCAGCCTCTCTAATCTCATGAGCCAATTCCTTATAACAGATTCATATCTCTATATATTTATCATTTCCTATTGCTTCCGGTTCTCTGAAGAACCCTAACACACATTTCATCCAAAATGATTACAGTAAAGGAGCTCTGTTGCTCCGTGGCCTGGCAACAGCTACCTCTAATATGTGCAGTCCAATGACAGAGAGCCCAGAGTGTCCCCAGTGTCAAGTTCATAGCGGGTGCTCAAAATCGTCTGCTAAAAACAGGTAATATACTTTTAATATGTTTATATCCAGCTATATATTTCATCATTTTTTTTTAGTAACCAGTGAAAGATGTATAATCATATTTGAAAATAAAGTATAATTGGTGAATAAGAATATATAAGCATTCTTTAAATTCTTTTAAGGGACTGTAATACCGGTGGATTTATCTCAATGTGGCAGGTGAAAAAACCCTCAATTATTCTTCAGAATACACAGATACACAGACACATACAAAGCAAAGTCAAAGCTACTGATATCAGGATAAAGAGAGAAAAAAAAAAGTATGAACGATCAGAGATTTAGATTATAAAAACACATCATCTTCTATTCCCAGGATGGACTTTAGCATCTAGCAGCAAGGAAGTGATTCTTAAATGGGCAAAAACTAGCTGGAAATCCTGTGACTCTAAGAACAACTGGGGAACTTGTAAGAATAATGGATTGTCCCTTGACATTCTTGATTAATTTGTTTTACTATGTAGCAATGCTATGATTCAAGTTTCAATTCTAAGGCAACCAATTAGGACTGAATTTTCCATCAAACTTTGAAAATGGTTGCAAGACTCTGTTCAGTCATTGCAGTTTATTAAATCACTGGAACCCGGCACCTGCTGCCTTTCAGAGGAGCCTGCAAGACCCTCATGCTTACAAAAGCAGCCCTTGGCATCACCTTACCCATTCTGAAGACAGTGAATCTGTGGATTCTGATATGAAGGTATGACCTATGACTGCTGCTGCCTTATTCACTATCTGTGATTCCTGAGGAGAATCATTTCTCTTGGGAACATAATAAGGTTGAGGAACAAAATGCCATCCAGAGAGTAAGAAATGGTTCACCTGGGTCTGCCGAGTTACCAACCAATTCCTTTCAGGGTATGCACTTTCCCTGGCAATGTCCTTCATTTCTTTACTTGGATCACAGACAACAAACATAGCTGTCCTTGTACAAAGAGAAGTGAATTACCTATGTAATTAGCAGTGAAAGAGATTTAATTCCAAGAAATTTCTAAAACAGACTCTCCAGTGTTCATGCAAACTCTGTAGGGCAAGCCAGGTGATACTATCAAAATGCAAGGCGCTCCTTTTTTTTTTAAGATTTATTTATTTCAGTAATCTCGACACCCCCTGTGGGGCTTGAACTCAGACCCCGGGATCAAAAGTCACATGCTCTTTAGACTGAGCCAGCCACGTGCCCCAAGGTGCTTCCTTTAAATGTGCAATTTATTGCGCTCGCTTCGGCAGCACATATACTAAATGTGCAATTTATTTTCTTTCTTTTAATGTTTATTTATGCGGGGGGGGGGAGGGGGGGATGGGCAGAGAGAGGGAGACAGAGTATCTGAAACTGGCTCTGTGCTGATAGCAGTGAGCCCGATGTAGTGCTCGTACTCACAAACGACAAGATCATGACCTAAGCCGAAGTCGGACGCTCAATCGACTGAGCCACCCAGGCGCCCCTAAATGTGCAACTTCACTTCTAGGATTCGATCACACAGAAATACAGGCACGTCCAACTGCATAGCCTGACCCCCACACCCACTGCGGGCCACCCACTTTTGGCCAAGGCCCAAGCGATTGGATTCAAATCCTTGTTCTGCCACTTTAAATTTTTAAAATAGTATCTCAACCTTTCTCATTTGTAAAAATGGGGATAGTAATAATTTTAATACTCAGATGAGCTATCATGTATAGTTAGGGCAGTGCCAGACTCAGAGCAAGTACTATCCAAATGTTAACTCTAATTTTTGTTAATACAATAAATGTTGTTAGTCCTCCCAGGGCAGGAGTTAGTGGGCTTTAATGAATTTGTCCCATCAAACGGAGATGAAATTCAACAAGGAGAGTAAAAAGGTAGAGCTGCACTCTCTTTGGGTCCCCTCTGTTCCCTGCAGTCTCCCTCCCGTCTGGCTGTGGCATTATCACCTTCAGAGAGGTAAAGTTACTGGACCAAGGGAACACAACTGATGAGTCAAGAAGCACACCCAGGGTTCTGACTCCCGACCTTGAATTCTTAATCACGTTGCTGTCTTCCTTTTCACACCATACTGAAAAAAAAAGTAACTCCTATATTGTTGGTATAAAGACAAACCTGTGCAACTTTTCTGGAGGCTAATTTGACAGTACTTACCAAATTTTAAAATTTGACCAACAAGTACCTCTTCTGGGAATGCATCCGGCTGAATCACTGCCCAAGCACACACAGACATGCAAGAATGGTCACTACAGCAATGTTTACCAGTGGAAACCAGAAAACAACTACCATGGGGAGTGCCTGGCTGACTCAGTTGGTAGAACATGTGACTCTTGATCTCAGGGTTGTGAATTTGAGCCCCACGTAGAGATTACTTAAAAATAAAATCTTAAGAAACAAAAACAAAACAAAAAAACTGCCATGGTCGAAATGCTGGTGTCCCCACAAAATCCATGTTGAAATCCTAACCACCAATGTGATGGAATTAGGAAGTGGGGACTTTGGAAGCTGCTTAGGCCATGAGCGTGGACCCCTCATGAATCAGATTAGTGCTCGTACACAAGAGACCCTACAACACTTCCTAGTCCCGTCCACCACATGAGGACACAGTGAGAAGGTGCCATCTATGAACCGGAAAGGAAACCTCACTGGACACCAAATCTGCTGGCACCTTGATCTTGGACTCCCCAGTCTCTGAACTGTAAGAAATTAATTTCCGTTGCTTTATTTTTCAATTTATTTTTAATTTTTTTTAACATTTATTATTTAGTTTTGAGACAGAGGGAGACAGAGTATGAACAGAGGAGGGTCCGAGAGAGAGGGAGACACAGAATCTGAAACAGGCTCCAGGCTCTGAGCTGTCAGCACAGAGCCCGACGCGGGGCTCGAACTCACGGACAGCAAGATCACGACCTGAGCTGAAGTCGGACACTTAACCAACTGAGCCACCCAGGCGCCCCTTTAATTTATTTTTTAAAATTTTTAATGTTTATTTATTTTTGAGAGAGAGACAGGGACAGAGCGTGAGCAGGGAAGGGGCAGAGAGAGAGGGAGACACAGAATCTGAAGCAGGCTTCAGGCTCTGAGCTGTCAGCACAGAGCCCTACTCGGGGCTCAAACTCACAAACCTCAGGATCATGACCTGAGCTGAAGTAGGACACTTAGCTGACTGAGCCACCCAGGTGCCAATTTCTGTTGTTTATAAGCTACCCAGATTATGGTATTTTTATTATAACAGCCCAAATGAACTAAGATAACAACCTAAAATGTCCATTAGTAAGAAATTGGTTAAATAAATTTATGGCATGTAAAAGAATACTATGTGGTATTTAAGAAACATTGTTTTTACATTTATTTATTTTTGAGAGACAGAGCATGAACAGGGGAGGGGCAGAAAGAGAAGGAGACACAGAATCCGAAGACGGCTCCAGGCTCTGAGCTGTCAGCACAGAGCCCGACCCGGGGCTCAAACCCATGAACCATGAGATCATGACCTGATCTGAAATTGGACGCTCACCTGACTGAGCCACCCAGGCACCCCTACTATGTGGCATTTAAAAAGAAGCATGTAGGGGCACCTGAGTGGCTCATAGGGTTCAGCATCCAACTCTTGATTTTGGCTCAGGTCATGATCCCAGGGTTGTGGGATTGAGCCCTGCGTCAGGCTCCACACTGAGCATGGAACCTGCTTAAGATTCTCCCTCTCTCTCTCTCTCTCTCTCTCTCTCTCTCTCTCTTTCTCTCTCTCTCCCCTTCTGCCCCTCTCCCCAGCTCATGTACTCTCTCTTTAAAACAAAAAAATAAAGTAAATTTAAAAAAAGAATGATGTACATCACATACTATATACACTAAAATGAAAGATACCCAAGATATGTCAGGTAAAAAAGTGAGGTGCAGGGGTGCCTGGGTGGCTCAGTCAATTGAGAGTCAGACTCTTAATTTTGGTTCAGGTTATGATCCCAGGGTCATGGGGTCAAGTCCTGCATCAAGATCTGCACTCAGCACAGAACTTGCTTAAGATTCTCTCTCTCTTAGGGCGCCTGGGTGGCTCAGTCGGTTAAGCATCCAACTCTTGATTTCAGCTCAGGTCATGATCTCACGATTCATGAGTTCGAGCCCCTCAGGCTCCATGCTGGCAATGTGGAGCCTGCTCGGGATTCTCTCTCTCCCACTCTCTCTGCCTTTCCCCAGCTCTCTCTCTCTCTCTCTCTCTCTCTGCCCCTCTCCCCCAATGGCACTCGCTCTGTCTCTCTAAAAAAAAAAAAAAAAAAAAAAAAAAAAAAAAGTCAGGTGCAGGACAATATGTATATTATAATGGCATGTGTATTTAAGAAGTATATGTTTGCGTGTGTATGAGAAAAAAATCTAGGAAGACAGACCCCAAACTTAACTGAGGATACTTCTAGAGAGTGGGGTAATACCGGAAAGAGTACATGAGAAGATAAATAAGGGATTCTTTACCTTGAGCCATTTTAAAGTATAAATGTTTTTTCGTCTGTCAAAGCAGAAAAAGTCAGACTGCAGGCGCGTAAGAGAATGGGCCGTGAGGAAATGGCCGTGGCATACAAGTGAGGAGAAACCTCTCCAGCCTCATGGGATATCCACCAACCTGGCTCACCTTTTCCCATTAGACTTTTCAGTACTCCCGGCAAGCCCTCCAGAATCCTTCTGCGGCCAGACGCATCTCTTCACCGAGTCAAGCTAGCTTTTGCCTCCACTAGTAATGGGCTACCCAACATTTCCATTTCCTACATGTCCTTCAAGGTGCTGCAAAATTCCCTGACCCCTTGTGTTTCACGAAGATCTCTCCCTTCTCCACTGTCTCCTGCGCTTAGCAACACAATCTGGTGTAATTATCCAGGCTGCCTGCCTGCATCACACAAGAAGGTAACATACAAAAACATGACACTAGTTATCTTGGTCTACTCCAACAATATTAGGAACCTTTAAAAAAAAGAGACTAGGCTTTCTTCTGCAGCTCTGGAGAAAGGTGAATCTGTTGGGGGAAGACAGAAATGATGGAAAACAGGAAACCACAAAAACATACGAAATTTTCACAAATTGGGGCGCCTGGGTGGCTCAGTCGGTTGGGCGTCTGACTTCGGCTCAGGTCATGATCTCACAGTTCGTGGGTTCGAGACCCGCATCGGGCTCTGTGCTGACAGCTCAGAGCCTGGAGCCTGTTTCGGATTCCGTGTCTCCCTCTCTCTCTCTGCCCCTCCCCTGTTCATGCTCTGTCTCTGTCTCAAGAATAAATAAACATTAAAAAAAAATTTTAAACAAAAATTTTTACAAATTCAATTTTTTTCCTAAGGTCTGCCCCATTAACCACTGAAGCCAGCTACAGAGATATTTCTTACCATACACAGTTATGCATTTGAAGTGTTCAGGAGGAATTCGGCCTGCCACTGTGCTATGTTTATTTCTTATAAAAGCCATCATCATTTGCTTTTGACATTGTTCACTTCATTATACAGAGTGTAATTCCCAGGTGATTCATTACTTGAGGTATAATGCACTGCAGTTAGTGAGCAGCAAGTTAGTAATTCATTAGGTCAGAAAGTAAACTTCACAGGAGGGGATACAGTCCTTACAACCGTAACATTTAAGCAGTTCCTGAATTGCACAAATAATGGAAAGCTATTTCAGTGAATAAAAAGGAAAAAGAACTCTTTTTGAAATTTTAACTATTTCAAATTGTCTTTAGAAACGACTAAACATTAGTAAATCACAGCATTCCCATTTTTAAGAGAGACACACACACAAAGATGTAGTAATTGTTCCAAACTGAATTCCCTGATGTTCTGAAGAAATCTCATGAATCTGACATGCTCTAAGGAAAGAATATTCAACAAAGAGCAAGCAGAGGAAGCAGCCTGGTTCAAAACTCTAGAACTTTTTCATCGTACCTGAAGTTTTAAAAAGAAGCCCTGAATAAATTAGTCTAAGATAAGAATCCAAACTGAAATGATCCTGTCTTACCATTTTATTGAGACAAATCAACCACACATGGGCAATTCATACCACAATGGCTCCTCGATACCCACCTCTGTGTCATTTTTAAATGTTATTTATTTGTTTAATTGGAGAGAGAGAGAGAGAGAGAGAGCGGGGAAAGGGCAAAGACAGAGGGAGAGAGAGAATCCCAAGTAGACTTTGCACTCTCAGCCCAGAGCCCTACTCAGAGCTGGACCTCACGACTGTAAGATCATGACTTGAGCCAAAATCAAGAGTCTGAACTCAACTGACTAAGCCGCCCAGGCGCCCCCTAAGTATCATTTTTTTTTTTTTATTTCCAAAAGCATATTTAAAACTAGTTTATTTTCCAATTCACAACCCAAAAGGTCCCAAACACCTACTTAAATGAACCATAAAATACCCAGGTGAGGCAAGAATGACACCGTAAGTCTCAGGAGATCTGGCAGAAGCTTACTAAGGCTGGACAAACTGCACGCTTGGAAGAGAACATGACTGTTCTATTTGCCTGGGCCCCCTGCACCTGACCTTGCCAGCCGCCAGGGGAAGGCCAGGTCTCACGCACATCCGCATCGGGCGCATGTAACACAGTGTCTGGCTAAGAACGCGCTTGCTAAATCAAGGTTGCAAGAAGCACGCGCCCGGCCCGGGCACCACATCACTGTCTTCCCAGGTTTGTCCCACTAACCACTTGCCCCCGGAGCACTCCGGGAAGGATGCTCCTCCCAGTGCAGATTCCTGAGCCCCATCCCGGCCTAGACCAATCAGCATCCCTCCGGTGCACGAATGAGCAGCTTGACAGCCCCACCCCACGCCCACCCCCACTCCACACCCCTCACCCACGCGCGGCCTCCAGAGGCCCAGGCGCTGGCGGGCGTTGAGCGCGTCCCCATTACCGCCACCCCGCCACTGACCCGGCGCCTCGCCCGCCTGGGAACGGTCTCGTACCAGGCGCGCTCTCGATGGTCCCCACTCAAGTAGAGGCCCAGGATGGCCCCAGAACTGAAGCCGAAGCGCTGGCGGATGAGACTAATGAGATCCGTGACCACTCGGCATCTGTTCAAGTCGACGAGAAGCCAAAAGGCCGTGCAGTGAGGGGTAGCTGGAGGCGGATAATCAAATTGAAGCCGTAGCCTAACCGTGTCGGAGGCCGCCATCTTGCCCGTTGCTCAACGGAAACCGAGAGACACCACAGGGCTACCAAGAGGCGTGCTCGGCGGCCCGCCCCCTGGGGCCTTTTAACGTGTGCCCTCTATTGGCTGCCAGTGGCTACTGCAGGCTCCCGTGACCCGCAAGAACGCGGAGCGGGGTTGAGTCGATTCAATTTTGCTCATCGCTGGGCTAGGGAAGGGCATAAGTGAAATAAATGCCTTCATTCCTTTCCCACTGAGCTCTATGCAGGGTCGAAATTTAGGCAACTCTCTGGATAAACAAGCACTTCTCAGTCGTTGTCTTCTAAGATATTTGCTTATATATGGGAAAGAATTTCAAAAAAGCAGTTACTCCCAATACATTTGACAATTTTTTCGTTGGTAAAGAGTTGGAAAAGATGCATTTCCTGGTATATTGTAAATATACGTTTAAAATAAAACCACTTGTCACTCCTTTACATGTGCCTAGTGGAATTGAAAGACCTTATCGGTGTAATACCTACCACCATCCATATTTTATTTTTATTTTTTTAATGTTTATTTTTGAGAGACACAGAGCGCAAGTGGAGGAGGGGCAGAGAGAGAGGGAGACACAGAATCTGAAGCAGGCTTCAGGCTCTGAGCTGTCAGCACAGAGCCCAACCTGGGGCTCGAACTCATGAATCACCAAATCATGACCTGAGCCTAAGTCAGATGCCCAACCGACTAAGCCACCCAGGTGTCCCATCCATATTTTAAAATATAAAAATAAGCCCCCTTATTAACCACTAGGTAAGTAAATCATAAAGTGTACATCATTCAAATTTCCATTCCATCCGTTCACATAGCATATTAATTCCTTTAGTTTTCATGACAAAGATATGAATTATGAACTATTACTATTCCCATTTTGAAGATTAAAAAAAAAAGGGTTTAGATTAAGTAACTAACCCAAGGTTACTGGACTAGTAAATGCTAATATTTTGTAGTCAGTGGACACATTGAAAGAAAATTTTTTGGGAAATTTTATTTTCCTGTAACCCTAATGCTGTAGATCTTCTGATTTGAGTTATTATTACTGTTATGAATGGTACACAACTGATCAAAATAGCATAAAACATCACACATTTTGGTACATAATTATTAAACAGGGAAAATAAAATGGACATGGAGACATCTATTAACGAAATGGAGCTACCTTTTTTTTTATTTATTAGGTCAAGTCTTTCTGGATGAATATTGCTAAATGAGACAGGGCTCCACATTGATTCTAGATCGATTTTTTTGTTTTTATAGATGTAAAATCCTGAGAAAACTTGTTCATTTATATAAGTGGGTAAGACTAGAAGGGCTTGGGGCGCCTGGGTGGCTCAGTTGGCTGAACGTCTGACTTGGGCTCAGGTCATGATCTCACTGTTCTTGAGTTCGAGCCCTGCATAGGGCTCTCTGCTGTCAGCACAGAGCCTGCTTTGGATCCTCTCTCCGCCCCTCCCCGACTCACACATGCATGCACTCTCTTTCCCCCCTCTCAGAAATAATAAATAAACATTAAAAAAAAAATAGAAGGCCTTATGTCGTTGGCAATGTCAGCCAGTTGTTTAAACTCCTTCCAAGTTACATGCTAAAGTTTCCTAGAGATCTTCCTTTAAAATTTTTTTTCAGGGGTACCTGGGTGGCTCAAGCCCTTAAATTAAGCATCCACCTTCGGTCAGGTCATGATTTCGCGGTTGTGAGTTTGAGCCCCGCGTCAGGCTCTGTGCTGACAGCTTCTCAGAGCCTGGAGCCTGCTCCAGATTCTGTTGTCTCCCTCTCTCTTTGCCCTTCCCCCACTCAAAATCTCTCTCTCTCTCTCTCTCTCTCTCTCTCTCTTTCTCAAAAATAAAGAAAAACACTTAAAAAATTTATTTTCAGTACTCCATCAGCCAACAATTCAATTATGTTGCATAATGTTAAAAACAAAGAATTGGGAATCACCTGACATCCAAAAGGAGCGTTTGCCCAGTCGCTAGAGTCATTCACTTTCTCAATATTTGGGACAGCTCCACTGAGACTTAAGGGATGACTACACCACTTAATCTTACATTTAGAGGTGCTTGGTTTATGGAGCTAAATGAGATGAAATGGGTAAAAAATGAGAATTGTAATCAAAGACTTGAATATTCATGGGTAGAGAGATGGTGGACGTTTGAACTGTTACAGATTTACTAGCAATTTAATTTGATAGTCAAAATCAATTATGTTTATAAGCACTCACTTGACTGCTTGAAAGAGAGTATCAATATCTAAGAGAAAGGAGTTGATCCCAATAGAAAGAAGCCGTTTTCTCAAGGTCAGGGCATTACTAGATTTTATGTATCAATGATTGCTGCCTTGTCCATTATTTACTGTAGAATGCACTACAGTTTTCCCTAAAGTTAATCTAAATTTAATAAACCTGGTACAAACAAATAACCAAGTATAGTAGGTGCCAGTAAGGCTACATAGATGGAGGCAGGAGAGAGAAAAAGATACTTTTACTTTGGAGAACAGAAACAGTGCCATCACATTCTCAGGCAATCAGCTTTAGGAAGAAGTTCAAGTGGGGGCGCCTGGGTGGCTCAGTCTGTTGAGTGTCCAACTCTTGATTTCAGCTCGGGTCATGACCTCACAGTTGTTGGGTTTGAGCCCCATGTCAGGCTCTGTGGTGACAGTGCAGAGCCAACTTGGGATCCATTCTCTCTGTCCCTCTCTCCCTCTCTCTGTCTCCTACAAAATAAATAAATAAGTAAACATTGAAAAAAAAAGATTCACAGATGAAAAAGAAAAGATTAGTGAACTTGAAGACACAGTAATAGGAGCTATCTTAAATGAGACACAGAGGGGCACCTGTGGCTCAGCCAGTTAAGCATCAGGTCATGATCTCACAGCTTGTGGGTTCCATCCCCTTGTCAGGCTCTGTGCTGACAGCCCCAAGTTCAGAGCTTGTAACCTGGAGCCTGCTTTGCCTCTCCCCCGCTTTCACTCTGTCTCTCTCTCAAAAATAAATAAGTATCAAAAACTTTTTTTTTAATGCTGAAAGAAAAATACTGTGACCTTGAAACTCTTTACCCCGTGAAATTGTCTTTAAAAAATGAAAGTGAGTGGTGTCTGGGTGGTTCAGTGAGTTAAGTGTCTGACTTCAGCTCAGGTCAGGATCTCATGGTTCAGGAGTTTGAGCCCCACATCAAGCTGTCTGCTGGCACCACAGAGCCCACTTCGGTTGCTTTTTTTT